GTCACTGTGCCCAATATTTATTTTGATTAAATGAGAATATATCATCAATGCACATGTTGTGAAATGATGAAAAATTTTATGGGCGAACCGTCTTTTTCATTTCTCCTATTGTATGAAAATAAAATGTAGATTGTGAAACATTATATAATTTTTTCCGAAAAGAAAATAGTTATTTTTGTATCTAGAGTGCGAAATGCTACTTTGGTGATTGAGATCAAATTTTTTCAACGAGGCGTAGCCCAGTTAAAAAAATAGTCGAGATGACCAAAGTATTTCGCGCTCGAGTTGCAAACAATATTTTTTCTACAAACGTCAAAAAATATAGTTCTGAAGTGAAATATGCTTAGCTTGATATAAAAAATAGTGTTGAACTGGCTTTAAAGGCCTTCCCCTATCCTCCCTAGATAGGCACAATGTTCCACGAACATAATAGGAATTTCCTTTCGTGCGCTCCAAGAGATAAAACAAAGTTATTGTTGAACATCCAGGAACAAATGATTTCGTGGATGTTTGCTCGATTGAGGACCATAAAGTTGAAATATAAATATCTCAAATATTTTACATAACAATGCGCGAAGTAGGTACTTCGCGCACTGTTTTACTTCGCGCATTGTTTTGTGCAAGGTATCATGGTAACGTAGGAAACTGAAAAAAAGTGTCACTTCGCAATTTGTTATCAATGCGCGAACCTTGTCATTTTTTGACGTTTGTAGAAAAAAAAAACAAAAATAGTTTATGTCAGTCACAATATGTAAATAATTTGAAAAAGCAAATTTGAATTTTGCACATTTGAATTCGCTTGAAAAATCTTGAAGTTGATATAAAAATAAGGTAATAAAGAATTTGTCAACATTTCAAAATATTTTTTTTGAGTTACAGGGGTGCGGTTATCTTTGATAAAATCCTAACTCACTATAAATGTCCATGGTAAATAGACCCTAGCTGTCATAAATCCTTGATTATCAAGAACTTCAACACCAGCGCCATTATCAAACATAATGATGACTTCAGATTGGTTCAAAATGTAAGTTGGTGTGTAGATTGTAACTCCTGAAAAAACACACAAAGTTCATTGGAATTGATAAGATTCTTGAATAAATACCTTGGAAATGCTGAAACTTCAAAGACGGCCTGTCAAAAAATAATCGTTTGTTATCAGCAATGACGTCCAACCTATATCTCCACCTAGCATCCAAAGGCCTTCTTCTAACTTCAACAGCAATCGTGTTGTTGCCTCTGGCCACGATAGATGTCAGCTGAGTTGCTTTAACCTAAAAAATCACCGAATCAAAAACTGTCGGTTCTCCTAGAAAGTATAGTTTTGACTAACCTCTCCATAAGCATTCTGGTCCATCTGTTCAAATCTACCTTGGACCTCTAGATTATCGGATTTAGTGACAGATTTCACCAGCACGAATTCTCCTTTGCCGTTGAACGTGTACTCAACATCATCGAAAGTTATGAAATGAGGATCACCGTAAACTCCAGCGAGACCTGGAGCTTGGTAGGCTACACAATCCTGTGTTGGTCTTCTTTCAAACCTAAAACAAAACCACTCTTGCTAAGTCTATCCTTGAATTCCAAAATTGGGCCCACTCATGCAACAAGGAACCAACCAACTATTTGTTAAAAATCGAGTTATTACAATTATGAGAACCTAATTGAGCATCTTCATCATTTCGCAACGAGAATCCAACAGTTTCAATTAGAGAGCTAGCTGGCAAAATTTCTAAAGTGCTCAAAGAAACAAGGATCGACAGGAGGCATTCTATTGAGTGGTACAGTGGTATTAATTGCGTAAATGAGTGTTGATTTTTTTTCTCATGTTCGAGTTCCCACGAAAAGGGATATCCTGTAATGTTCAGAGAACATCGTGAGAACCAAGGGAAATAGGGTAGGAATTGGTGTTCTTCTTGAATTTCTGGAGGTTGAATGCCTCGGGGAACACCTCCCTTAGCAATTGTGTTCCAGAGCCTCGCTGTTCGTTGGATGAACGAGTCTTTGGAAGGAATACGAGGCCTTATCTCAACGGGTTAATCTCGCGGGGACTGCCAAGGGAGGAACAATTGTTGATATTTCAGAAGAGCATCGTCCATGGAAATATCTATAGAATAGAGCCAGATCGCCAACTCTTCTATGATGTTCCAGAGAAGTGAGTGAGTTTGCATCACCCACGAGACGAATTGCCCTTTTTTGGACAAAATCCAACAGGTCGGATCTGTGCCTTATAGATCATAAGCAGCTGACTGGAAGTTGAATAGCTCCTGGCCGAAACAGAATACCAAGTGTTTGGGATGCACTTTTAGCAATTGATCTCACGTGATTTTCCCAAGAAAGGTGATTGCTGATAGTTATCCCAAACATCGAAATGGATGTCTTCAAAGGTATGGTTACACCTGACAAGCGTATGTTGGGAACAATGAGATCGGCTTTTCTACAGGAAAGGCATGTTTGTATTTTGTTCGCATTGAAATATAAGTTATTGGATCCCCATTCGAGAATTGTTGCCAAGTCCATATTCATGTTGTCAACATTTCTCCCTCGTTCGTTTCTGATTTGCCTGGCTGGTATTGGAGCCCTGGAAGAGAAGGCGTTATGGAGGGTACTATCATCCGCAAAGCTGTGTACTGGACATGAAGTTGCTTCGAACAAATCGTTGATATGGAGTAGAAATTGAGTGTTTGTGCTAGATTGATCCTTGCGGAGCACCAACATTTATGATGAGAGAGTCAGATGAAACTCCGTCGACCACTACATGGAGAGACCTGTTTGAGAAAAAACTACCTTGCAGAGTAATATTTGGCGATTGGCGAACATGTAGCCCCTTTAATATAAACAAAAAGGATAAAATGGAATAATGTGATTTTGTCAGCACAACCAAAATAGAGAAAGCTAGTCGAACTGGATGGTTCATCTTAGTTCTCATCCCCTGCTGTTACATCTGTTATTTTGTCAGAATTATTTTTATTTGTAAGAAGCGGTGACTGAGCTCTAGCTCTGATTTCTGGGAAGGTTTTGTTTTTCCTCTTATCAAACGGTGATTTGGTTCTTGAACTGCATTGAAAATGTTGAAAATGTCATTAAGCAATAGAGATACACGTGATTTTTTTCATACTCAGAAAATGTTGAAGTACTTTTTCTTCGTTAGAATACTCCTTTCCAATGATAAAAAATAGTTTTCTTCATTTTCTCGAAACATTAAAATACCAAGTTATTATTCAATTACCTCAAAGTTTCACAACCTACTGCTTGTTCTTCTTGCCAAAGGCAGCAGAGGTATTTGGGAACCACGTCGTTGAACCATTGGGACAAAGTGGGAACTTTCGTAGCTTCGTTGTAAGGCATTTTGCCGAGGTTATGACATCTGCGAGGACTCGAACCCCACTGTTGGTCGTAGGACAACATGAGGTACCCGTTTTTGTCATAACAACATTGCTGTTCAGCTCCCTCAGCTCTGAAATAAGAAATCGAGATAATGACTTCGCTTATTTGGTTTTCTGAATTGGCTGAAGTATCTTCTGGTGTACCACAGGGGTTACACGAGGGACCACTTCTAATCTCCTTATTTATCAATGATGTCAATTAATGGTACCACAACTTTGACTACAATTCTATGTAGATTGACTCAAAGTGCGGCACAGATTGTTTTTAGTTGCAGTCCATTTATCAATATCTTAAGTCAATATCTTCAATAGTCAATAATAATTATCATCAGGATTACAAAGCAAACTCATCATATTAGTATTTGAATCTTCCCGAACTTCCTATTTGGAAATTTGTTTCTTATATCCATTTTCTCTTTTGTGAACAAACAGGGTGTCCCAAATGTTGACAAGAGCCAAAGGCCAGCTCATAACAGATCAGAATATCGAAATATGACCTTGGTAAGTTATATTTGCAGTGAATAATCAATATTTGATTTTCTGAAGTGGACATGAGATGTGTAAAAGCACACTGGATGTGTGAAGTTTTGATATAACTTGAGTCTTTTCAGTATGAGGTGAATTAAAATCGGAAACTCTGGTAGTGGAGTAATATTTTTTACTGTAGAAAAAATATTATTTGAAATGAGGAACAGGAAGAGAAACTTGAACTTCTCATCAATAATTATGAATACACAAGATTATCATCAGAATACGTGTCTCGGGGGGTCACTGGGAGTATAAATTCGAAATGGCGACCAAATCAAGCTTTTGCGAAAACTGTTTTTTTTTTGTTAAAAAACGGTTTTTCTTGAATAACTCGGCCATTTTTGATTCTACAGAAAAAATTTGAAGACAAAAATTGTAGTAAATTTGGTTTTCTACAAGTTCATTTATGCCGTAAAGTTGAAAACAAACGAGATAATGAAAATATTTCGAATTTGTCGCTTTTTTCAGGTTTAATTTACAAAATATCGATCCTATCAGAAAAATTGTGGGGACCGAACTTGTAGAGAACCAAATCTACTACAATTTTTGTCCCCAAACTTTTTCTGTGGAATCAAAAATAGCCGAGTTATTCAAGAAAAACCGTTTTTTAACAAAAAAAACTAGTTTTTGAACATACGCAAAAGCTTGATTTGGTCGCCATTTTGAATTTACACTCCCAGTGACCCCCCCGAGACACCTATGAAAAAAAAACACTAAAAAATTATTCACGGGTCAAAGTCTATGATGACTGGACTAAAAAAACCTAGAAGATCCGTTCATCATCCATTTAATACGTATAGCTTTTACTTACGTTGAAGAGCTTTCACGCAATGCAATGGTTGTTGTAGTAGCAAACAGGATTCGTATCCTTGCCATAATCAAAGTCAGATCAGGTGGGGTGAGGTTAGGTTAGGTTAGGTTTGATTTGATTTTTTACAGGGAGAGACAGTTCAGCTGGGACACGGGGTGTGTAGCTTTTACTTACGTTGGAGATCCTGTTTTCACGCAATGCAACGCTTGGTTGTTGTAGTAGCAAACAGGATTCGTATCCTTGTCACAATCAAAGTCAGGCATGTATTTCCCTTTGTCTGCTAGAGCCTGTTCAACAGTGCATGGGCACTGAGGCAGCTCGTGAGCGAAGTTCTTCAAGTATCTGTCTGTCCTCAGCCAATCGTCGCAAAGGTATTTGGGCCAATTTTTCCCATACAAGTTCTCCCACTGAAACTGGAAGTACCAACCTAGAGGTATAGGTCTGCTCCACACTATGGGGGTGATGTCAATTGTTCTTTGAGTAGTGGTGTAGGTATTGATTTTTATGGACTCTGTCAAGTTTATTTGTAGGAAGCCGAATTTGATGTCTGTGAGAAATTCGTTGGTTTTGCCTCTGTACTGGGAAGGTACGATGGTGTACTCTCCTGTGTTCTGAATGTTATCAGCTATGTCTGTAATGTACACAAATGTGGGGTGTATGGTGGTTTCTCGGTAACCCCACAAGGAAATGCGAATATTGGCGTTTTCGTTGGTGGTCAAGTTCTGTTTTTCCCAAGTGATCTTCAGCTCGCTTGGTGACTTTTCATGGATTTTCTTATCCTTGAAGTAGATTTTTTGAGAAGCACTAGCTGGGGATTCTGGAAAAATTCAAAATGTTCGATTAATTCTCAGACCTCAAAGTACAGCGCCTAAGATTCTCTTACCTACGTAGTACCTTCCTTTCCATTTATAAGCATTTGGTCCTACAGCAATTTGAAGATTGACCCAACCCTCTGCATACAATCTTGGTTGGATGCATATCGCTCTGTTTTTATCAACCACATAACCATTTATTTCATCAGCCACATCGAATTTGCATTTGACTGAATCGTCCAAGTTGAAACAAGGTCCTGTTATATTTACCACAGTACCGCCAAGCATGTTTCCACTTTCAGGAGCAAAAACGAGCGGTAAATTAGCACCATCTACGATTAAACATAATTTTATACAGAGAACGGCGATTTGACGAGGAGTTAGGTAAGGACCATCAGGTCTTCAAGTAGTTATATTTAGAGATACAGGGTGTTAAATTGGAAAATTGAAATGGTTTCTTTTGAATGTTTCCCAATTAATTTCTACAAGAAGTGAAAACAGAATGAAATGAAAGAATACATTTTTGTCATGGAAAATTCATTTTGAAAGATATTAACTTGCATCAAGCTCTTGAATACCTTATGGTCACTCACGGAAGCTATCATTTGTAAAAATAGCGAACGGCAAAATAGCGCTCGGACTTTTCACATCATCGGGTCAAAATCGTTCGGTATTAAACGTAACCATAAATATTTCTCAGTCAGAAAAGGTGGTGCTATTTTGATCCATGGAGATTACAGGTAAAGAAAAAATAAAATACATCTCACTTCCGCTTCCTGAGATGTACGGAGAAATATTATTTGCAATGTCCACGGTCCAAACGACGCTAAAAACGAAGTTTTTAGTATAATTGACAATATAGAGGACAAGGACAATGGAAGATGGTCCAAGGAAAACTTTACAAGCCAGCACTAGGCAAGTATCGATGAAACGGTGCTTTTACCAAATTATGATCCTGGAAGAAAGACAATATGAGAGTCATTAACAAGAAACTTTTGATCTTTGGTAGAAGTGCGTATTGCTCGAATTCATGCCACAAGATTTTCAATGATGTTTTTTTTTTTTATCTTATAAAAGACCATCATCAGCCTAATTGAAAGGTCTACAATACAAAAACAAATAATATTTGAAGTGAAAGAATCACCTAGTTTGTGCTTGACTGACTTGGAGTTGAAAAAAAATTTTTTTTTGGAACAGTGTTCCAGGACAGGTCGGATCTGTGCCTTATAGATCATGCTGACTGGAAGTGAAATAGCACCTGGCGCGAAACAGAAAACCACGTTTTTGAGATGCACATTTAGCACGTGATTTTTCCGAGAAAGGTTATTGCTGATAGTAATACCAAGCATCGAAATGGATGTCTTCAAAGGTATGTTGGGCACAGTGAGATCGGCTTCTCTAGAGAAAAGGCATGCTTGTGTTTTGTTTGCATTGAAATCTACCAAGTTATTGGATCCCCATTCGAGAATTGTCGCCAAGTCCATATTTATGTTGTCAACATTTCTCCCTCGTTCGTTTCTGATTTGCCTGGCTGGTATTGGAGCCCTGGAAGAGAATGCGGTATGGAGAGTACTATCATCCGCAAAGCTGTGTACTGGATATGAAGTTGCTTCCAACAAATCGTTGATATGGAGTAGAAATAGTATTGGAGTCAGATGAAACTCCGTCCACCACTACATGGAGAGACCTGTTTGAGAGAAAACTAGCTAGCAGAGAACACAACTGGGGAGGCAAGCCATAAGATGGAAGCTTGGCGAGGAGTCCGTGGTGCCAGACTCGATCGAATGCCTTGGAGATATCAAGTGCTACGGCTAAGGTTTCACCATATTTTTCAAAAGATTGCTGCCATATATCTGAGACGTTAGCGAGCAGGTCACCGTTTGATATCTGATGACGGAAGCCATATTGCCTATCGTTGATGATACCTGAGTGTGATAACATACCTATATCTTTGTTGCAGCTTCCCAGCAGAATGTTCTCGTCTATCCTGAAGATATGCCTTCCTTTGAACCCGTTCGCGAACCCTGTGGCCGTCAGGTCTCTGATGACAGACTCTTGACTGTACGGTTTGTACTCGTAGCTCCTGGTGCCGTTTCCTGCGTTGAAACCCACATACGCAGAAACACCCCCCTCCCCCCTTTGGGTGTCTCCGCCAGCTTCGGTATGACTGGTCCAATCCAGGTTGAGATAGTTGAACATGGCATAAGTGAACACTTCGTCTGTCACTAGCACCATTTGGAAGGTGTTGGTCTGAAAGTTATAATCGTTTTTTCCAATATTTTCGGATACTCCACAGTCTCTGAAACTTCTGTTTAATAATATTCTCAGGTTTTCAGGGCTATACAGGGTGTTTCATAATTGAATGCAGATCCTCAAGGGCGATAATCCTTGGATGATTTCAAAGAGGAAAGTTCATATCAACATGTGTCCTAAACCTCTTAGTTATTGAGCTACAGGGTGATTTCAAGAAAAAAATGAGTTTTTCATCATAATTTTTTATCACTCTTAGATATTGGTATGATATTTTGTATACACCTTTTCATTATCAAGGAGCATTTTTTTACGTGAAAGATATTTAAAAATTCTCACCAGTGACGTCCGTACGGGGTTTGAACTGACAATTTTTGAAGAAAAAAATAGTACGCCACTGATTTTTTTTTCAATTCTCATTCATTTTGAAGCAAATTTGGTTCCTAGACTTACTTTCATACAACGTACCGTTTTCACGTAAAAAAATAAAAACCAAAGAATTTTGTTCCTTCAGTTCTTGGATATTGTTTTTGGTAATTCAGTAGACACCCACTATAAGTGAAAACACATTTTGTTTTGGGACAAAAATCAAACTTTTACTTTTACCAGTGATGTCCTCGTAGACCTGATATTGAATGTTTTGTTTGAAAAAACGCTGTACGCTTCTGATTTCAACACCCTGTAACTCAAAAACTAAGAGGTTCAGGACATATATGTTGATATGAACTTCTCTCCTTAAAGGATCAGCATTCAATTATGAAACACCCTGTATATTCCTCCATGAAAAGGCATGCCATACACTTCCTTTCATTAATAAGGAAATCAATGTATCAAAATTAATTTCATCTATTCTGATCCTACTGACGAGAGCAAGGGATTGAAATAATGTTTCTACGGTATAACACAAAATTGCTCTTCTTTTACTGTTTTAGATAAATCAATGAGGGACATTGTACATTGTTTCACAATAAATGTCATCTCCCATGAAATGTCGAATTTCAAGCAATGAGAGAGCTCTGTCTGATAGATCATTACTTATAAGAGAAAATCAGATGACTACAAGCCGATGAAATAAAAAAATCGGCTATTATATCGGTTACAGCCGTAGAAAGAGTAGAGTGTATAACTCGCATGAAATGCTGATTTCTCATTCTCATGGGAAATCACTATCATTTCGTGCTCGTTAAACAATAATATACTATAGGGTATGTCACGATACGAGCTTACACTATCTCTATATCGACAATCAGTCGGGAGAAATTCATGAAAATATGCTTGATTGGATTTTAGAAGATGCTCTCTTCATTTAAAATATTTCGAGCAATGCAGTGTTGCCGCTTCTATCAAAAAGTAGCAACAACTTTGTTATTTTAAAAGTAATACCCTGTATTTCATTTTATTTTCAGATTCTTCCTGGAGAGCTGATTTCATCGATACATCACACCTGGGGTCTATCGAAAATGATTACAGAGATATAAGTAGGTTGTTCAAAATCGAGATTTTTCAACTTTGATAAAGTAAATACCAACTACACTTTTTCCAGTTGTGTTTCAGAAAGCTTCATATGTATTTCAGAATATTCAATTGAATTTCAGAAAGTGTCAATTATATTTCGCAATAGTCAATTAAATTTCAGAAAGGGTAAATTGTATTTCAGAATAGTCAATTGGATTCCTGAAAGTGTCATTTGTATTTCAGATAACATTATACCTTTAAGAGAACATCGTGAGAACCAAGGGTAATAATGTAGAAATTGGTGTTCTTCTTAAATTTTTGAAGGTTATATGCCACTGGAAACACCTCCATCGGCAATGTGTTCCAGAGCCTAGCTGTTCTCTGGGTGAACGAGCCTTTGGAAAGAGATGTTGTGCAGGTCTCCAAAGTGACCACGAAGAGGTGCGAAGCCCCAACTTGACGGGTTAATCTCGCGGGGACTGCCAAGGGAAGAACAATAATTGTTGATAAAATATCTATAAAATAGAGCCATCAGATCGCTAACTTTTCTACGGTGTTCCAGAGAAGTGAGTGAGTTTGTGAGCGAGGCATCACCCACGAGACGGATTGCCCTTTTTTTGGACAGAATCCAACAGTTTCAGAGTATGTTTGGGTGCTGCACTCCAAATATGGGAACAGTATTCCAGGACAGGTCGGATCTGTGCCTTATAGATCATAAGCAGCTGACTGGAAGTGAAATAGCTCCTGGCCCGAAACAGAAGACCAAGTTTTTGGGATGCACTTTTAAAAATATGAAATAAAATTGATGCTTGTTGAAAAAATGACTATTCTGAAAAACAATTGATATACTTTCTGAAATTCAATTGAACATTCTGAAATGAAATTGACGCTTGCTGAGATTCGATTGACTATTCTGAAATTCAATTGATATACTTTTTGAAATTCAAGTGACTATTTTGAAGTACAATTGATGCTTTCTGAAATTGAATTGACGCTGAAATAGAAATGAAAAAGATGGAGTTGTTCATAAAATGACGAAAGCTACCTTGGTAGAGAAAAACACTTTTCGAAAAGGAGTAAATAATAGTAGTATCTATAGCTGGTGATGAAAAAAAGTGTTGTCTTACCAAGTACACAGCGTTGGCAAATCCTCCATTGAATGAAACATTCTTCCATGTGACGATTATAGCATGCTTCGGGTCGAACGTATCGGAGCCAATGACTCCCTCCTTGATATCCCACTTGAGCCTCTCCCTCATTTCCACCCCCATCCTGTCCTGTCTAGTCCTCAAATCCCTTTCCATCCTGAAATACACCCCCGGTTCCCTTTTGTCCACATCCTCGTCCCTAAGCCTCCCGATCTTGCATTTGCTGAAGAAGATACCTATCGAAGAAAAATCAATTCGATCTTCTTTTCGTTTCTTTTTCTTCAAATATTATAACTTCCCCATACATACAAAAACTATGTTTGAGAGGGGCCCACTTTACAACGCAATAAAGTTTTTCAATAATATTATTAATATTCCCAATGAAATAAAAACCATTGAGAACTCTAGAAGCCTATTGCGATCACTCAAAAACTATGCAATTGATATGGAACCTTATTGTGTCGATGCTTATTTTGTTGCCAACTAGTGTATTTATTATTATTATTTTTATTTAATGTTAATTATCATTAATGATTTATATACATATATATATATATATATATATTTGTATACTGTTTAAGTAAGTACTTCGTCATATTATTTCTTGTCTGTATTTTACCTACTGTTTTGCTTGTATCCATACTCTTTTAAGTACTCTGTATTTTGACGTTTTTGTCAGACCTTGTACTCTGTAGAAATGAATAAACTATTTATCTATCTATCAATCTTCTCTTTGGGACCAAACGCCCAATAAGTCTAAACTTATACTTATTATGAGTGAGTTCCCCTACGAACTCAGCCTTCAAATACAATCATTTCAACATTTCTTTTTCAATACATGGACAATTTAGAGAAGACGAAACACACTTCCAAATTGAATAGATAAAAAAAAACAATCCTCCATGTAGTATGGAGTCGGCTGGTGTTAGCCAGAGGGGTGTTTTTGTCCATGATTAGAGTTATAGGGTAGTTTCAATTCCTTTCTTTCCATAGGGGTAATAAATATGAATCTCAGGTTTGCTGACGAAATTTCGTGACGCAACATTATCGTAAAGAAAAATCTGAAAAAATGTCTGTACAAAATGATACCATAAACTCCTGAGACCAAAGTTAGATTGGTCACGTTTATACCGTGTCTTGGTAAGCTGACTAATGACTATATTTCAACTAAATATTCTTAGTTAGCGTGGTATGAACTGTACACTTGGTAAAGTTACCAGATGCTTTAACTGAGGCATTTGGTCTGAATTTGGTCAAATCACCTTGGTAAGCATACCAAATATCCATACCGGTGTAAACGTGGCCATTATTGAACCAAACCTACCTTTATACCAAATTCAATATTGTCTATAAATGTCGTTCTGAAATTTTGTAGGCACACTAAAAGGATTTCTATGAATGGCAAACATTCCATACCACTTCGATTAACACACAAGATGTTGCATATTTCGAGTACTGTTGAACGAAAAATTGATCACAACCACTCAGCGTGTGCAAGAAAAATATACAGGGTGTTCCAGAATAAGGTTCGTATATTCCGGTAAATAATTCCGCAGACAAAAATAAGAAAAACGGTTTCTATCGACAGGTCCTTGAATGAACCTTTCTTCAATTATCTTCATTATCATTATTCCTAGAACTACGAAATTTGGTACCTATAAGGGTGACTGATCTTAGAAATCGTTTCGTGGTACTAAAACCATGATTCAATATACCGTTTGATTTTTTATTTTGATGTGAAAAAAAATTCACAATGATTTCAAGCGTGTGTTCTTCAGATAAAAAAACAGAACTTGATAATTATATCTTTACATATCCAGTTACTCCTGTTCTATCAGAGTTGATTCATTGAGAAGATAGCCGCAACGGAAATGAACTCTGATAAAACAGAACAAACTGGAAATTTAAAATATAATATAATCATCAAGTTCTAATCTTTTCATCTCAAGAACATATGCTTGAAATCATTGTGGATTTTTTTGAAAATCAAAATGAAAAATTACTTTTCCTTCTTCGTGTAGAAGTGTTTGAAGAATCATAATTCTGGTAGTATAGATTTGAGATAAATCATGGAAAACTTGAGGCATTTTTATAGCATCGGTATACGAGGTTAGCACCTCTCTGTATATTAAATCATGTTTTTCGTACCACGAAACGATTTCTAAGATCGTATCAGCCTCAGGTACTAAATTGTGTCTTGCCAGGATGAATGATAACAAAAATAATTAAAGAAAACTGCATTTGAGAATATACTTCCAAATGACTCTAGCGCCCTCTGTATACATGTTGATAGAAATATTTTTACTTATTTTCATCTGTAGAAATACCTCCCGAAGTATACGATCGTTATTCTGGGATACCCTGTATAGTCTGATAATGTTTTGGCAGCTGCAACATGAAGATTGTAGAGGGTTCAAGACATTTTTCCAATTCCACAATCATTGAAGGATACCGGGAGACAATGAATAAAATGAGAAGAAATCGTGGAAACCATCCATTCTTCTCAAAGTGATGCCCGTTTTATTAAATTATTGTAGTTTCAATACCTTCCCTTAATGTCATTGTCAATATTGTCATTTCAATCACTTCCTGCTCTTAGTATCTCCTTCTGGTTCTGGCTTTTGACTTATTCCGATTCCCCTGATGTTGAACAAAGTTTTTACTTGTTTTTTGGTTGTCCAGTCGATATAAATTGTTTCCATTTTCTGATAATATTGGATGAAAGAAATCAAAACTACCCCACAACTTACTCTCTAGGGGCTTCTTGACCACAAATTACCTGTATTTTATATCGATCACACAGTGTTCACTTTTCAACCTACCGATAAACGAGGGATCATTTTTCTTAGGCCAGTCCTTGATGGGGAAAGTAAGGGGGTAATCGTAGTTAGGAGGTGGGTCACTGAACTCCAAAAAGCCACTTAGTGAGACCCTGGTGTAGTTGAACCTGAACCCAAAGAAAGGTAGCTGGAAATTCAGGTTCTTGTACACTTGGCCAGTAGAGGCTTGAATCTCCTTCTGGTAGTCCCCAGTGTTGTCTGCGTTGCCTCCTTTGTCGTAGTAGGGGTACATGAAGTGCTTCCTGATTTCCTGGAGCCTTTGTTCGGTGATGATGTAGGGGGTGCCTGAGAAGCCTCTTTGGTCGTTGTCCTGAGGGGCTATGTTTGATGTCATGGGATCTACAACGGTATCAATCAGTTCAGTATTATATATAGTGGAGTGAAGGAATTCGACCTCATGGAAGAGAAAGAGTCTTTTTGCGGTTTGTTTGTGAGTTTAGCAGAGGAGCAGAGTAAGCTCTCTTGAATCTTTTCAGAGTTTCAAAGCAGCAGATATTTATTTCAACATACACTGACGATATTGTGATCGTCAATGAAACTAGAGGGGATATTAGAGGAGCTCCAATGACCTATACGGACATTTTTTTGAGAATACGAATAATGTGAAATTGAAGTTGAGTACGAGGGAGAATTATCTAAATTTTCGTTTTCGAAGACACAAATATCCGGTTTTAATTGATTCTCCCCGAAGAGCTGATTTCATCAATGCATCACACTTAGGGTCTAGCTGGAATGATTTCATGGATATAGGGTGTTCAACATCAAAATTTTCCAACTTCAGGATTCGAAACTATTCATTATTGGTCAAAACGGCTTTTATGTCCGTATCTCAAATTTTGTTTCCCTATCTACTGACATTTAATTGGAACAGATACAGGGTGATCAAAATTCTAAATCTTGAACCACCCTGTATTTGTTTCGAATAAATGTCAGTAGATAGTGAATCGAAAGTTGAGATAAGGTTATATGAGTTGCTATGACTAATGATGAATAGCTTCTACACAAAAAAATCCTAAAGTTGAAAAATATCGACTTTGAACACCCTATAGATCTCTAATCATTGCCGCTAGATCCCAAGTCATTGATGGAATCAGGTCTTCGGGGAGAATCTAAAAATGCACTGAAATACAAGGTGTTCCTTTGAAATAACAAAGTTGTTGCTCCGTTTGTGTTTCAGAGTTTTTTTATGATCCGGTTTTGGCGACCTATAGAGCCTCTGTTTCGTTTTCAAATTGCCACCCTGTATGTATGTATCTATATATTGAAACGTGATTGAATGTGGTTGTGTGAATGAGTACACCCAAAGTTTTATCATAGTTTGGAGAATATACATTTTTATCTTGTTTATTTTATGATGAACTAATTGGGAGCATGAATATAAAGCAAGGTAAATAGTGCAATAGTGGTGATCTACAAACAATATCAGTTCCGAACATTATGCTTAGCGTAATAAAACAACAATGACACGACTCAATGTTTCCGAATATCTCATCTCCGGAAGTAATAATTGTAATGTTCATCTGACTTCAAGTTTGGATATAATTAGGTATAATTACGTGACTTTGTTCAATTTTTTTTGGTATCTCATAGTTTTCAATCCTCAAATAATTACATTTGTTCCACTCTGTATGTGTATAGGATATACTTATATCTACATAAAGAACGAATTGAAACATTTTAATACTGTTGCTATCTGGAATACAAAAAATATTGAACATGTGCATAATTTTAATATTAATATTGAATGATTACATCATCTCATGAAAGTGAAGCACTTAATATTAATTTGATTTTTTATATACATAATTTCATAAATGTCTATTGTAATAATTTTTCACTTTACAGGGTCCGGTAGAGGTATTGAGCGGTTTTATGTTGCTATGGAAAAATAGTGTATGTGAAAAACGTCGAAAAATAGTGATTAAAATGTAATAAATGTAATAGTATATTATGTAACAAGTGTTATAAACGTCCTTTTAGTAACGAGTATTTTAAGCACGAGCGGAGCAGAGCGGAGCGAGTGTTTAATAAACGAGTGTCTAGAAGAGTTTATAAACGCGTTACATACTATGCTTTTTCTACGAACTCCGAAAATTACATCAACATACCTACTATTCCTGCTAACCTACAAAATAATTCGAAAGGAATGGGAATTGAGAACATAATACATGCAACTGCATGCAACCAGCGAGACACGTATAAGTGATATTGGTTGTAGATGTGTCCAGTCCATTGCTTACTAACCTTTGTTTCACGTTTATTGTCATGCTTAGCGCAGAATAAATAAATTGTTCTCAAAGATAGATGCTTCATTTTTACACTTCTTGGAGATATGCAAGTACCAGAACATTCTCTTCGATTTCACTTTCGTCTACATTTCGCATATATTTTTAATGAAGAATTCTGATACAAACGAATATTGTTTGAAAAATTCTGATACAAAATTTGAAAATAACAGTTGACAGTTAATACAATTGACAGGCCAGACATGTCTCAAATTACTGAAGCTGTGTTTAATGAACTCTGTTGCCATGGTAATGTGTTTAAGAAATCGTGTTGCCATGGTAACGTGTTTAATATTTTGAATAAACCACAGATCGGCAATCCGTGATTAATCTATCATTTAGCGTGGTACATATCCGTACGCTAAATGCCATTTTAGTTATGCGAGTAGAAAAAATAGTTTATTCTGATCCAGTCATCCGTATACAAATTTCAAGTATTGGCAACATCACGGGACCTTGTATAAGTCTCATATTGTCCCCAAAATATTTTTTGATCTTGAAACTTGAAAATTTCACTAATTTTCAGTATTGGCTGAATTCTATAGATTTGGTGCTTCTGAGCATAGTCCAATGGTTAACATTTCCTAAAAATGTCGTTTTCAATTATTCAACGGAACTGAAAGTTTTTCACTGGAACGACTCCATAGAAAAACGTTACCTCAGTAAGGTGACCAGTGGTGTGTCGCCGATGAAATTATACAGGGTCATTCAATCGTGGCAATCTCTGAACTACACCAAAATATGAAGATTTACATTTCAAAATGAGATAAACCTCTTTCTTCAAGAGAAATCCCGACGATTTTTTTGAATATGTCAAATTTTCATATATACCTTTCTATTTGATTTGATTTTGCCAAATCTTACTGTACAGGTCTTTTATTCTATTCTCATTTTTTGTTCAACTCACATCTATACAAATTCAGAGAAAATGGTTCTAAGACGAAGAATAAAAACCAAATGAAAATTGCGAAACTATGAGTCCAGGTATTTTTATTTTTTATCTATATTGTACATTTTATAGATCAATGTTGATTTTTGAGCGAAAAAGTATCACAGAGATAATTGAGATAACATTATGACGGTATCAAACTGATACAATGGTGATATCGATGAAACACGTTATTCCTAGAATCTGAAATCAAATCTGACAAAGAAACTCGGTGTAATTCATGGCATGTGAATCATGATATGAGTTATCAAGACATAAAATTGATTATGAAAATAGCATTTTATGGAATATGCCTTTCTTCCTTGTGAAAAAAAAAGACGATTAGTCTATAAATATAAAGGGTTTTTCACTCGGTTCCTCATCAAGGACGTGTGAATTTGAAATTGAATAAATCAGGTTGTGTGATGTGATCAATGAATTTTTTGAATAATGGCACGGGTTATATTTGAGGATATGTATCGTATCGGTTGTTGCTGCCTATTGACATGGCAAAATAAGTCTAACGTCGCATGACCACATCCATATCATCCAATTTGGGACACCAGAAATTGGTTATCCCTATGGTTTTCCTCAATTGGTAGTGATCTCCAAATAGATTCTGATCTATGCACCAGTGAATCATCGAAAATTTTACCAATTGAAGCCGTTATGGCCATTCGAACGATGTCATATTATACTCCACACTATGATGTCATCGATAGACCTTCTCAAACAAAAACAGAAATTCGTCGATCTCTCTGTATACAACTCGTATTCAGTTTTGAAATCTACACACACAGAAGGATAATTCCAATCGATGAAATATTCCGTAATTTATATTTCTAACAAAATACTCTCAAGACCAAATTCTGAATTAAATGAGGTCTCACTTCCCCTCCCCCCCTCTATATCTCAGCCGAGAGCTCAGCTATTAGTCGTGAGATTCTTACGAAATTTGAACCGATATGAATAACCATCAATATGATCAGTTTTTTAGAGTGGAAATTTTCAGAGTTGAAATAAAAACAGGTTGAGTTTTTATGAAATCATATTAGGGATATTTTTCTTCATATTATTGTTCCTCATTCCTAATCAACAGGATTGGCTTATTTTTTTTTCTTCATTTTTTGCCCTGAAAAATAACTAGTGGATTAAAAACAAGTGCAAATTTTGAAAAGTTCTATAGCTCCGGTAGGTAAAAAATGATAATTTGAAGGAAAAAACAGGATATACTTTTTCTTCTTGAACTCACCGTTTCCGAGTAAATAATTATTTACGTTCGCAAAAATAGTATTTAGATATGTGCTTGTTTTGATGAAACCCTCCATAGAAATTATATGAAAATTGATATAGGGGGGGGTTTGAAACCATGAGGACCAATATTTTGAGGTCGGTTTTCCTGCGAAAAAATTTCCAATTTGAATTCGAGAAAAATTGACCCATTTTCATTTTCTATCAATACGCACGGCACTGTCAAAAATGATGTAAAACTGATCATATTGATGGTTCTCCATAGTGGTCCAAATTTGGCAAGAATCGCATGACTTCAATAGCTGAGATATGGAGGGGGCCGTTTAAAGTGAGACACGCTGTATATGCATAATACACCATTAACTTAAGATATCGTGAGAGTTATTAGATCGTTCATCAGATGAATAAATCTTTGCTAAATCTTTTTGCATGAATAGAGAAAGAAAACTCGAAGATAACTGAAGTTTATCAGTTGAAAAATTCAAGGAAATCTCATTTTAAACCAGATGAATATTCCAAATGGATTATTCTTTACATCTGAAATAATATTCAATGTACTTGATTTAAATAAGTTCTCCTAGGAGAAGAATGCAATAAATATATCAATTTAATTGAGAATTCCAATTTATGTGTGTAACCGTCCTTTATAGTCCAAGAGCCCAGGGCCCCCAGACATAACTTATTTTTTAAAACAAAATGTAGGGGTTCCAGTAGTAATGGCCGACGGAAAGTTTCTGGCAGTGTTGAATATCATTCTGTAATAATATCTCATGGAAAATTAATATATAAAAATCAACCATTAGAATTGAAGTAGAGTTAGCCCTATTTTTTCTACCTCACAACCCTGGTATCTTTGAATTGGTTGTCTAACAAACTAGGCTCGTATGCTGGCATTTACTGTATAAAAACTACACGAAACCCCACATTTTGTACTTTAAAATAGTTATTTATACACCAAGGCAGTAAAGAATACCATTATCACCCAGGGAACAAGATTATATCCCTAGGCTTCAGCCGAGGAGTACAAGGTCCGATGGTAATGATATATTCTTTACTACCATGGTGTATATTATTTTATTCAACACATGCAATATATTTCAATCATTATCGTTCTGACGTGAAACTGAAATATGGACCTATTGTCACTATGAATGCACTTCCCTTCAATTCTGATCAAAATAATAGCAATGATTATGACAGCATATGTCAAGTCGTTATTGATAAATACGTGCTAGATCCGAGTCCCATCTCTGCGAATATCGCATTAGAACAGTGAATTCGGGTTAACATTATTGACGAAAACTACGTTGGTAGTAAAATAGTAGATTGTTTTATTAGGATCAAAAGTGACACTTTGTTTGACAAGCGAATTTTGCATTTGCGAGGCGGAGCGTTTAGCGAAGCCGAGCGAAAGCAAAATTTGCGAGGCGAACAAAGTCACTTTTGATCCGAATGAAACATGCTATTTTTTCTGCAACCGAAACAATTAACTCAAATAAACATGTGAAGTAACCACCAATGCCGTGCCATATGTATGCAATGCAACAAATATTGACAAATAATCCATGTGGTGAGACTATTCTACCTGCATTAACAGCAGGTTAGGTTTTCTAGGATGTTCGAATTGTAGTTTCAATATAAATACAACCACAGAGTGACATATTTGTGTATGGACCAGGAGGTGCTCTAATGGCAAATACCGCGCCAGTGCCAGCTATAGGAACAAGACGTGGAAAATGTTAGGTTAGTGGCCCAGCAAACACGTTACATCACATGGCAGTTTCGCGAAGTCCAAAATTGCAAATGGAAATATGTTTTCAGTTTGATTACGCATATTTGTTCTGAACGTGGTTACTTTGAGACTTTGCTTTGTTAACAAAAAATCTAAGATGCAGTGATAATTATTTCAAGATAATAATAAACAACCACAACGTCATTACAACAAAATGTGTTGAATTTCTAGTTGAAAAGATCGTCATCGAGTAACGTCGCCACGAAGTCTATTCGAGAAAGTCACCATATCAAAAGGAATAGAATGGAGAAGTCTCAGAGAATCCTCGCATGAATGTGCCCAATGTGATTAAAAATTAGATATTTATTGTCTCAAAAACTTCCACAGTGACTATACGGGTATATGTTGTATTTGGGCTATTTTTCCAAATCTCAATTTGAACAACACAATTAATGAAATGCGTACTTAATGTCGCGGACATTTCGCTGCAAATAAGAGCGGGAGGAGATGTTTTCCGTACATCGCACGCGGATTTTAGTTGCAAAATTACTTCCATAGTACTTTACAGTTACTGCCCTGTGTTTGCTGGGGAGCATATCAACAATGATAATAGTGATTATTTATTCCTCTCCATACTACACTGTGTTTGACTTGATAATCAAATGAAGCTAAACAATATCGTTGTTTGAGACAAAAAAAACTATTGCTTGCCGTGATTATTAAAAAACAAGTTATCCATTCCGAGAATAACGAATGAAATATAGATCAAGCAAGTATTTGAATCTTGAAGGCTTCCCTGATCAACACAAAAATACTCAACTGAGACGTTTATAATTCCAATACTAAACTATAATAAGGTGTATTTATATCTCCAGCATGGGTATGAAATGCCAAATCTACTGAAATCGGAAACAAATCAGGTATGCGTCTCAACCCAAATAACCAACTGTCCCAATGTTGTTTATTCTAGATGACGTCCAGTAGATCCTTTTTAGTTCCTAGGAGCTAAAGTTCAACTTTAGCTCCTAGGAACTAAATATGTTGCCTAGCAACATACCTATTTTTGTGTCAGTAATAGAAACGTCAATTTAAGAGCTAATTTTGGTATCAAAATGGACGACTTTTGTGTCGGTTGCAGAAAAACAAACTTTACGCCTGGAGAAGGAGTAAATAATGGTAGGTTCTACAGCTAGTGGTATTGCAAAATATGTTATGTCAGGGGGTCCTATAGGCTTTTACGGAAAACTCTCTACGAAGCAGTAATATATTTTTGAATAATAGGCGTTTAGTTGAGGATAGTTGAAGAGTTGAAGTAGAAGCAGAAGAAATTGGCAAGCAAACAATAGTTGGTTATAGGAAATTTAGTATACACTCATGATTCATTAGATGCCACGCCCGAAATGCAAGATGGCGTCCACTCACAACCGAAAAACAAAGCAAAAAGCGGAAAGTTCTGACACAAAAACTAACCATATTCAGCCCCGTAATAAGTGGAATATTTTCCATTTTTGATACTCTGAAATGTAAAATCTGCATTACCATCCACGATGACGTCATCATTGTTAGTGGCATTTGTTTCTAAAATTGTTAATTGAACGGTAGTTTCAGGAGGTGCGAGGTTAGAAGGATCTACAGTGCTGTTTAAATCTACAAAAACAAAAATTCTACTATTAATACACTACACTATAATGCTACACGTGCTGAGTTCTACTGATTTTCCAAAAAAAAAACTGGTTAGACTTGCCATAATTTGCATCTGTGGGTTGAATATTGGTATTTGGTGCTTCCTCTGCTGCTGCAGCACCAGGTCCCAGGTCAGGGCTATTCACTCGTGGGATAATTTCAACATTATCTTGCTGCCCCAGATCTTGGATTTTTGCCTCTTGCGCAGTAACACTTAACACATTCAACAAAGAAAGTAGCAAAATACACTTGAGGTACATATTTCGAAATTTGTGGCGTTCTGCCATAATTTTTCTCTATAGCCAATTCTCACCATACGCGTGAGGTTGAGTCGAAATCGGGTTGTGATTACTTCGCAGCACCTGATATCTCAAATAGTTTTCAAACAAGATAAAATTTGTTATCTGAGGCTGTTTTCATGATGACACATTTAATGAAATAAAGGTAAATAGGCGAGTAACGCGATATATATTTTGTTTTATCTATATGATATGATCGATATATATGTATACCTACCTACAATTTCCACATTCATACGTTGAAAAAAAGCACTTCGTATAATTACTCGATATTATTTTTATTTTTCTTAGTCATTATTGTTATAGAATAATGGAAACATGTCTCAGCTCTATCACAAGAGAGATCAGTCAAAGAACTTTGTTTCATTACACCGTTCTGATACATATGCAACTTGCATCTGAAATATAACATGTTACTTTTACAAATCATTGTTTCATCACATGTTCTATCAATGTGATAAATTGGAGACATATATCCCATCAGGCGTCATCAAAAAGGGATCAATTAAAGAACTGTGTTTCATTACACATTCTATCCACGTGATGGAATTGAGGCATCCCAGGCGTCATCACCAAGGAGATCAATTATTAAAGAACTTCGTTTCATCACACGTTCTATCCACGTGATGAAATTGAGGCATCCCAGGCGTCATCACCAAGGAGATCGATTGAAGAACTTTGTTTCGTCATAACGTTCTATCAACGTGACAAAATTGAGGCATCCCAGGCGTCATCACCATGCAAGGAGATCGATTGAAGAACTTTGTTTCATCATAACGTTCTAATAATGTGACAAAATTGAGGCATCCCAGGCGTCATCACGAAGGAAATTGATTAAAGAACTTCGTTTCATCATACGTTCTATCAACGTGATAAAATTGAGGCATCCTCGGCGTCATCACGATCTAGATCAATCAAAGAACTTTGTGGTATCACAACGTTCTGAAACTGCACTGATGCAAATTGCTTCTAGAATATAACTCGTGCTTATGTATTATAGGTATCAATAATAAATCGTGAGAGGTTTGTTGACTAAATTGTCTATTGATTGGAATAAAGTTCAAATTTTTACTCCTTTTGTTTCACTGTTTTGAATGCCACATAGAGTGTTTAGCGGTATTTCCACTGATTTTTCAATTTCAACAATTTAAATTCCATGAATATATCCTAAATATCTTGGTGTTGAATTTGAAATTGATACAAGTACTCGTGAAACCAGCATTAATTTATTGATAATTAGGGATGGAGCCAATGCAGAGCACAGACTTGTCAAAAACGTCTCTGGCATGCTCTATGGAAAGAGCTATATGTAGAGACATATTCATCACATATTCCTTACAGTGAGTTTTACAGAAAAATATTCCACATAAAACATGTAGTTTATTTAGTCTTCTATAAGATTGATAATAGGTATTTTTATGATAGGGTTCATCAATGAGGAGATAATGCGAAAATAATCAATTTTTGACGCCATCTTACAAGATGGCGGCTCGCACGGGCGGTCGCTGAGGTCGCAGATTTGAAAACTTAATATAATTACCGTGAATTCTAAAACATCCTTATGGTCCCTGGCTACTGATGGACTATCAGTTTATTCCATTCAAAAGTTAAAGGGGGGAAAGGACTTTTCATGTCCTCGCTGTATATTATGTATGGCTCTCTATAACAAGATATTTTTTCATCACCTAAACCAAAAAGCCATTACCTTCCCCCAAGAAGAATTTATTTTACATACATAAAGGGAAATTTTCGAAATTATTTATGTACTACCTATAAACTTGGTTTAAGATCATAAGGTGTTTGTTGTATCCGTATCAAAGTATTTGTACATGAACCTGAAAACCTGTATAGGTATGTAATATTTAATATTTGATAAGATTGAGATAAACATTGTGTCTCAACCAGTCAAGTTGTTGCTTTATTGTTTATCAATTGTTTCGACTAGGTATAATATATAGATAATCAACGAATGGATTTCGGATAAAATGTTTCTGTTTGCACTAACATCAACATTCCAAGAAGACGAACTAAGGATAAAAAGAAGGTTGACTGGAGATGTTGAGGAATTTAATGCTCATCATTGAAGTGGAAGGAGACCCCCATGGTATCTCTTTTCATTGGCGAAATATTTAAATTCGCATTTTTATTTTGAATTCGTATTCAAATATTTGAAGAATGCCTCAGCGTGTTTTAATCCATCAAAACGAACTTCTATAGAACGCGGAAGCTTTGGAATTCCACGAGATACGAATATTATAGGAATTTCCTTCCGTGCCCTCCAAGAGATAAAAAAAACTACAATCTACAATAATTATTCTAGGAATAATCTTCAATTCTACAACTTTGATAAAAAAATTTGATTACTTGCGCCATCTCTTTATAGCTTATTGTAATACTACATACTAGCTAGAATCTAGAATGTGTGCTTTACATTGAGTTCATTGGCTTCTTCTTATAAAAGTTCAGATGTTGGACAACAGATGTCACTACAAAAGTGGTCGTTCCCAAAGTTGGTAGAATTGATGACTATTTGTAATCATCACTTCTACAAACCTTGGTCTTGTTTGTAGATTGCATAGAATGGCAGCAGTGACAAGTGACAGAATACAGAATTCACACTTCACAGTTGACAGTTCACACTTCAAAGATGACAATCAAATATTTTTATTATTATTCCTTGTTTTGGTCTTTTGGATATTTTGAATTATTGTAGTTGTTCACTATTATTGAACTTAAGCCCTGTAAATTTCGCGTACGAAGATTTATACGTCTTCAAATTTCGGTTTCCTACTTGTCCTATGGGATTGATAGAAGATGAACTCGCCGAAGTCAGGAAATTATGTGAACATGTTGTGCCAGGTACTAGACTTGTCTCCTGTGTCAAGACAATGGTCAGAGTGGAAATAAAAAAGACAGAGTTCAAAAAAATCGTATTGTGTTCGCAGTTTTCTAAGGACTACCCAAAAACGCCCCTACTTATTGAGCTAAAGAGCAAAACATTGTCTGAAAAGTTACTGCAAGGTTTGACCAATGTCTGTGAGCAAGAAATAAAGAAATATTTGGGTAAACCTCAGGTACTCAACACTATAAAGTTTCTGCGGTACTTTCTTGATGAAAATCCATTGTCTTGTTGTTATGATGAAATAAACTGCTTGAAAAAGTCTCTAAGTGGTGATGATGAATTGAAGTTGAAGCAAAAAACATCCAGTATAGTTCTTAGGGTATATAATTTGAAATATTATTTAAATTGTAGGGTTGTTGTACCTGAACAGTACCCTACTAATGCCATTGAGTGAGTAATGAGTAATTATGTTTCAAACTCATCTGAGCAATTCTGATTTTCAGTATTCAAGATATAGACACAAATTTTTCCCCAGCTTTACACCGTCACATGGTATCTCAAGCTAAAGAAATAGCACGGCAATGTGTGGAACCACCTCTGAGAAAAAAATTGAATCAGTCTAAGTTTGAGCCCAGCCCCTCCCTGAAAAGATCTGTCGAATTCTTGATAGATTGTGTCAAGAGGTTGCCTACTGAAAAGTGTCAGTTTTGCAAGAAAATATGTTTCCCTACTGATCCAGAGGTAAGTAAACATGACCACAGTACTGCATGCAAGGTTTACATGCAAGATTGCACCCAAGATTCTCCAGCTCACTAGATTTTTTCTCCATATTTAGCAGACAATGGTTGTTATCAAGAATATGTAGCTATTTTTATCTGGGAACCACTAGATAACATGTCATCTGAATCATCAAATGAAAAAAAAGGTTTTGTGAGTGGCTTTCTGAGAGCTGAGAGCTCTGAGGAGAAGAAATTATGTGTCAAAAACTTGAAATAAACTGACCCATAATTGATGTGAGACAAACAAAAATTTCCTCCATCATTGAACCATCATAACTTTGGATGGGACCATTCAATTCTAAATTTCTTTCAAGATTCTGATAGCTCATTTGATCATAACATCAATATTTTTTCATTAGTTCACCCATAGATCTAAATAGATCTATGGTTCACCATATTGAAATGACCTATAGATGAAAATTTACCTGTTTCCCAGGGATATTTTGAATTATTTTATTGCAGCAATAAGATGAAGCATAATAAGTTTTCACAAAATAGTTTTGGATTCAGGATGATTCATACAGGGGGTTTTGATATAGTATGCTGATATGTTACTAGGTGTCCTCAACTTCAACAGAATTTTAATTCCACATATCCTCAACTGCATCACTGTACAATGTGTTTGTACATTTTCAAACATAGAGATTGTAGAAATAAATGGAAATACTATGGAAAAAATGCAGATAACAATAATTTTAATGAAAAAAATATTATCATGATTAATTTTCACACCAAATTGGTTATTTTGAGAGAGTTTATGAATGTATGAATACTGTCCTTTATTATATTCACTAGTACTGTTCAGTATCCAGACGTGTGTGTTAGGGAAGTTGTTGTTTCAGTTCAGTTACCCAAGACTTTGGTGAAATTTTCATAGTGGTTGATGTTAATGCACTAACACATTGTGCAAAATTGTCATTGAATTTGAAAGACTATTTCCAAGTTTCAAGTCAATTCTGATTTGTCTATCAGCGTCGATGTTTTTCATGATGTAACCATGAATAGCAAAGCAAAGTATGTCATTTTTGGATGTATGATGAATTGATATTCATTATACAGGACCTGGAAAGGAATTCTGAATTGAGAAAACCTGATCACAAATCTGCCATGGAAGGTCTATAAAAATACGTTTCCATCATTCAAGTTTGAACCCCTTGATTGGGTGAATGTATTGAAAAGGAAGATTTTCAGATAAATTATCAACATGAAAAAATGGATATGCAGTGTGGCATTGAAATAAGTCCAAATATTTCAAACACTGAGACAGCTCAACGTGTGTACTATTGAAAGGCACTAATGAAAAAAATGTAGGGATCAAAATATTCCTTAGACTGTATCATATTGATGTGCTGAATATGGGCACTTATTTCAAAAACACCTTGTATATCTAAAGAAATACATTGAGAATTTGCATTCTATATGTGTTTGAAATATCAATTCTTTTGCGGTTTATACAATAGAAAACAACTACTGTCCTGGCAATGTTCGTCCTGGTATAGCCAGGAAAGGAATGCAAGGCCAAAGAACTCCAAGAAATTCCAGGTGTTTGTACACCAGAATTCCACTGCGGTTTACCCCTAGGAGTTATCTAAATTGATGAAATTAGAGAACACAAAAATGTCTCTCATTTCTTACTCTTCAATCTAAATATATTCAGTATATATTCAAATGTATCTAGAATAATGTTATATTTTGTGTAACAACAGTAATATACAATGAGGGCTAACAGTATTTATTGTCTTCCACATCATGCCACTGAAACTGAGTTAAATAAACCAACTGTTACATATGTTCCGCGTACCTAAAATGCCATTTGCCATTTTTTTTCACTCGTCACAAGAGCAATAGCAGCATCCCCATCTAGCGGAAAAATGTAGAATCAACGTCTCGCTCGATGTGAGGTAACAAAACCTTAGTAGGCGGTCGAGTGATTTTTAAGTTTTCAATACGTAAAAATGGCCGAATACGCGCACCATCTACTTATTTCTGTCATTGTTCAAATATTCTACTTTTTTTTTTTTCGAATATTCTCGATAAAACAAGCCATAGCCTTTGGGGCTATCTGGCAAAATTTTCGGATTTTTGACTTTCACATTGTCCTCACGTTTTAGTAGCGCCAACTGATGAGACTGAAAATGTTAACACTCCTTCTCAAAGAAACCAATGTCAAAATATTTGCATGATTTGATTTATAGGGGTATAATTTTCAACCATTCTTATAACTCTGGAAATAAGTGTATGGCAATCCAAAATTTAGTTTGACATGTGAAGCGTTAAACTTCATTCATACTCAACAGGTGTCAATGTAGCCCCAGCGTTAGTTTATAAGATATGCGACTATACAAGGATGATTATACTGTGATAAAACTGTTACCTATCAATATTTTTTGTATGTGCGAAGCTAGTTTTTTGTTTTCGAAGAGAAATGTCTTCATTCAATATTGGGGATACGAAACTATTTCGTATTTGAAACAGATGGAGTAACATATGAATATTCAGAGAAAGGTTCCATGTCTCAGCTTCAAAATCCACCACAACCACAATGTTTTTTACAATCACCATATTGATTAGACTGCATATAGCCAATGAATGCCTTGTGGTGTTTATGTTTATCGTCTGTTCTATCATTTTAGCTTCTAGAAAAAGACGAAACCTCGCCAAAACACATAGAACGAGTCTACTGCGGCCATCTGTTCCACCAAGACTGCTTTTTCAGCTACATGAAACTGCCTCCGTTCGGCAACAAGACCTGCTCTGTTTGCGGGAAGAAGATCCACCATTTCAAGTGGTCGCTGAGTGATAAGTTGGCCGAAGACAGATGGGCTCATGAGCAAGCCCGAGAGAGGGAGTTGCAAGAGGTGGCCGAGTTCTTCGAGTAGGGACAGTAGGGTTAGGGCTAAATGTCATGTCATGACGAGTTGTTAGGGTTGTAATTTTTTTGTGTGTGGATATACAATATTATGATAGAAGTTATTGGTGTTTTATTATGGGTTGCCACCATAGGAATATTTCCGATAACTCCCCACATAATGGCTGTGTCAAGTCAATCGTTCGACCACAGTGGTGATACCAAGATGGTTAATGTTTGACTAGGACTAGACTCCCATCGAAAGTTAACATGGAAACTTTGTGGGCAGGTTTGAAACGTGACCGATATTCCCAAACAGCTGGTTGGTCAGACTGATATCCAGACTTCACACTGAACGTATGTGCCCGGTCAAGGCCTAACTTCTGCAGATTTCAGTAACATCATAACTTGCTGATATCTCTATAATCTGCTATGAATCATAAAAAAGTTAATTGTTGCAATTTCATGATAATCCTAGAAAGAGCAATTGAAAGTGTTATAATTCTGTCTGGACTACCATTTCTTGCTCAAGAAAACCCGCTTGAAACGTAGGTATTGAATGTGTTGTTGTCAATAAGTTAATGTTCAAATACTCATCTCAAAATTTCAGATTTTTCGTACGTTTTGATCATAGTGGAAGGAGAAGATGGGGTGTACTCCACAGAAAGTTTAAACTCGTCTTGTTCTGCGCATATCCTCATTGCAAAGTATTTACCTATCATATCATCACTTTCATATTCCAGCACCTATCTGTTCGCAACATTACAGGATATCCCATTTCGTGGGAACCAGAACATAAAAAAAACTTTCGAAAAAGTTTGAATAAAGTACAGTTATTGTTGAATTACACCTCCAAAAAACCTCGAATATACAAATATTTAATACAAGAAGCAATTCATACAGAACATCTTCCGTCGGATATGAAGTTAGAAATGAATGAAAATTAATTAATGGTTTTGATTCATAATTCTGAAAAACGGAATGTCAATAACACCCCTCATTCAAGTTATAAATACTGTATATATATATACCGGGTGGGTGACATTATTTATGGGGATCTCGCGGAAACGGTATGTGCTACAGAGAGTGTTAAATAGATGCAAAGTTGCGCAATGTAATGACTAATACATAAAATGCCGTTTTGAAATTTGAAAAATTTCGAATACTACCGAAAATTTTTGAAAAAAACCGAATGGGGTGTCCCACTTGAAATGACTCCGTCAAGATCTTCGAGGGGACAATATTGAGAAATACTGGCCTTCACATATTAAAATTATTTTCTAAGATGACCGACTTCCGGTTATTGTTTCAAACAACCATGTTGCCGTACAAATTTGGTGATAACTTTTCAGAAGTCAGACTAGCGAAACTCCCAGTTTTTTTTTCCAGAAAGATATTTCCTTCAGAAATATTTTTTGTATCGTGTTATTTTTTGATAAGTCTCGAGGTTCATTTGCAAATAAATAATTTCTGATCTGAGGCATCTTATGCATTTTGAAAAAATAAATAACTCAAATATTAACACGATACAAAAAATATTTCTGAAGGAAATATACTTCTGGAAAAAAAACTGGAAGTTTCCAGTCTGACCTCTGAAAAGTTATCACCAAATTGGTACGGCAACCATGGTTGTTTGAAACACTTGAAGTAGGTCACTGATGATGATGATCGAAAATCGTGACTTACAGTCACAGAACATGCCATGCAAAAAATTATGAAAATCGATCTCAGCCTACTCTTTTTATGAGCAAAATTATTTTTTTCCAAAAAAAACTTCAACGCCTTGTACCAAAACTCAACGAGACGATTTTGGATATAGGTAATCAACTTGTTTTTATCCCAGGAGTTCACAGCTGAGCCATGTCCCAACCTTTTACAGACACCCTGTATATACCTCTCAAAATTATCTGCTTTGTCGAGCAAAAAAAATATCAAACACAATTTCTTGGCCTATACTGGGATCACAAAAACTCCATAAAAATTATAGAAAACGGATTAGTCATTTTTTACAAGAATTTTGATAATGGAAGTCAATTGGGACTAGACACAAATACTCCTATCAATTTTCAAAACAATTTCACAATTTTTTGTGAACGATGAGGTATATGATATACAGGGTAACTCACGGTCCATGGTACGTTAGACGTTTACGGAGAACGGGACATAGGATCATTCTGAAATTCTGGTTACTCACGTAGTTGCTTTTGGTCTATCGATCTAAAATATTTTCAGCTCTGCGGCGTTGCCGCTTCTATCGAAAAGTAGCAACAACTTTGTTATTTTTAATGGAACACCCTGTATTTTATTGCATTTTCAGATTCTCTCTGAAGAGCTGATTTCATCGATGTATCACACTTGGGGTCTAGCGGAAATGATTACAGAGATATAGGGTGTGAAAAATCGACATTTTTCAACTTTAAGAATTTTTTTTGTCGAAACTATTCATTATTGGTAAAAACGGCTCACATGTCCCTATCTCCACTTTTGATCAACTATCTACTGACTTTTAATTGAAACAAATACAGGGTGGTGCAGAATTCAGAATCTTGATCACCCGGTATATTTCCCAATTAAATATCAGTAGATAGTTAATCAAAAGTTGAGATAGGGACATGTAAGCCGTTTTGACCAATAATGAATGGTTTCGACAAAAAAAATTCCTAAGGTTGAAAAATGTCGATTTTTCACACCCTATATCTCTGTAATCATTTCCGCTAGACCCCAAGTGTGATACATCGATGAAATCAGCTCTTCAGAGAGAAAATGCAATGAAATACAGGGTGTTCCATTTAAAATAACAAAGTTGTTGCTACTTTTCGATAGAAGCGGCAACGCCGCAGAGCTGAAAATATTTTAGATCGATAGACCAAGAGCAACTACGTGAGCATAGATCTAATTACACATCTATGACGTGAGTAACCAAAATTTCAGAATGATCCTATGTGTCCCGTTCTCCATAAACGTCTAACGTACCATCGACCGTGAGTTACCCTGTATAGACTGATTGTAAATTAATGAAACCCATATTTAAGCATGTCCTCACTCTATAACACACCCTGTACGGTTTGGGCCTCAACATCATAATCCCCTCGAAATAACAAAAATATTTCACATCCGATGTGCGATCCTGGAAAAATATTTTCATTTTGCATTAGCGCGTCTCGAATGTCTCGATTTTCACACATTCCGTCAGATGATGCCGATCAGCCGGTAATTAGAAAATTACCGACCGAGCGATAGGTATCGATGACGGCTGCCAGATGGCAGTTCATCGGCACGTGTCGAAGAAGCCGTTATCTTCGACCACCGGCAAGAAGATATATTGATTGGGTGAATGTCAATCGTGCAAAGGACAAAAAATAAGTCTCAAAAAAATTAATTGTATTCATTTTATTCCAAATTTGTTGGGATTTTCTCTCCTCGTTTCTATGAAATTAAAATATGAATATTATTTCAATATACGTGTAGTTAGGACAAATCAGATGATTTGCCCCAAAATGTCACTGCGTTTAAAGAATTTTCCTATCAGAGAGCCTAAAAGAAAAATTCACTAGCTTGTCAGTGACAATTTGTATTGAAAAAAGTTTGTAGAAGAGAAATAAAGGTATATAGAAAAAATATCAAATTTTCACTTATCTCTAATCGTTTCGGGATCGAATCTGCTCCCGTTTTCAACATAAAAAATGGTTATTTTAATAGAAAAGTCGTATCTGTCTTGAAACTTTTCAGTTCTCAGTGACAATTGGTGACGTTGGCAATCAATTGAGTTACAGGATGTTTTCATTAATTGATCTTGAATTTACCATTTTCATGTTCAGATTTTAGTAGTGAATACCATGTTCTGTCTATATCAACTGAACAAGAAGCAATGCTATTGTCTCTGTTCAGAAGAATGCAAGCAGATTCCTTGATTTTTCTCTTCTGGTTGTTATCTTCTTGTGATAGGTATCTCACTGCTATCTGCTATTGTATTCCAGTGTTTTGATAGAGCCGCAAAAAAATTTGTTTTTTTTGCCGTATTAACAGTTCGAAACAGAGTGTTATGCAAACTGGTGGAAATGCCTTATATCACTGTCACTAAAAGTCGAAATTTTGATGAAAATACGTTGAAAATATATTAAATTTCAAAATTATATTTTGACCCCCAAACGTACTGCAAACTGAAATATGATCATCACTTGTCTCGTGAATTTTCAGACAAATCATTCACTTCCCCAGTAGCGAATTTATTCCAGTTAAAGTCTCCACCCTGTATACCCTACTTTCCCAACCGGAAGGATTAGAATTACCTGTGGAAACGTTCGATAAACCTTCATTTTCGGAAAATAGGCACAATATCTACAAGTACTTAACGATCAACTAGACCTCAATATTTCAACACTGTTGAATTTGTTTTCTTAGTAGGTAATACCAATATCAACCCTTTCAAGTCAATCCGTTAAACCGTATTTTAATGTAGATATTGTGCCTATTTTCCGAAAATGAAGGTTGATCGAACTCTTTCACAGGTAATTCTAATCCTTCAGGTTGGGGAAGTAGGATATATAAAAGTTAGGCAAGCCAAGGTTAGTTTAGTTCATTGTACCAGTATTTCGCCTGATGAAGCTACTGTGTTTGCGAAACATGTCGTGTGATTAAAAATTTTGTGGAAATCTTCACTCAGATCTTCAAATCAGACACTGGTGCTGTGTTCGTCTTTGGATGTGAAAATCGCTCTTCCTCAAGAACCCGATCAGGATAATAGAACAAAAGAATTAATTTTTGCTATTGTCATTAGTCCTTGAAAAGTGTGCGAAGATTCAATTTAATTCGACGTTTTGAAATGGATCAAGTTCAGCCGTCTCTCTAGATGTAACTATTCGTACGAGTACTTGATGCAAGACACTGTCGTGTCTCTGAAAATAAAAAGCTCTCTCAATGAGAACTGTGTTATTTCGACAATAAAATATACTATCTTGATTGATTGATTGATTCGAAGGGATAGAAACGAACATTTGAAATTTTGGTGAAGGAACATGTTGAAATTTCTGTGGCGGAATATCATTGACCATTTAGATCCTGATCAGGATCATGGAACAATAGTTATCAAGGGAAAAAAGTAGTAGATTCTAGCTCTAGGTTGTGT